TGGCCTGGATTTATCTTTACAGTGTTTTGTCGATCAGTATTGTAATTCCCCAAGATTCCCTCTTCTGTTGTCTCACCCTCTCTCTCTCTCTTCCCTCCCTCTTTCACTCTTCTACCTATTGCTCCTTCCTTCCTGTCTCCTGCATTGTCTCTAACCCTCCCTTCTGATCCTCTTCTTCTCTTTCTCTCTATCTTTCCTTTTACTCTCTCATTTCCTGTCCCCCTCCCCCTTTTTCCTATTTGATTTCTTGTTTAAATGTTTAGTAAATGTGCGGCTCCATAACTCTTCCTAACAACTCAAGTACACAGGAAGTTGTATTGGGGGGGGGGGGGGGAGGGGGGCATTCTGTGTGAACATGGTGGATATTTTCTTTTGATGTGTTTGTTTTCCTAGCAGCCTTAATCTCTGTCCATCTCCCTTCCCGCCCCCTCACATTTTGTCCTACCTGTTCCTCACTCTCTGCCTGTCTGTGTCACTGCTTTCCTCTTTCTCTTTGTATTTGCCCCCCTCTCTCTCTCTCTCTCTCTCTCTCTCTTTGTATTTGCCCCCCTCTCTCTCTCTCTCTCTCTCTCTCTCTCTCTCTTTCTTTCTCCATACCTTCAGTTGGTGTAGAAGGTTATGTGTTGCCTAGTGCAGAACATTTCATGTCCACCATTCCCCCCTCCCACACATTAAATATATGTGTACTTTAAAAACACATTTGCCGTCACCCCCCCCCCCTTTTTTTTCCTCCTCCCACATTGATGACACCTAGGGGAGGGAGTGCACCCCTTCCTGCTACCTTCTTCCCTCTATATCTCATCTTATTTCTTACTCCCTTCTTTCTCTCCCTGTCTCATTCCCACTTTATTTTCTTAAACTATTTTCTCTCACCTCCTCTGTCTCACCCTTACCACCTCAGCCTTCTACACCACTTTCCACCACCTCCTCTCTCCCCTCCTTTCTGTAATTGAAAAACCAAAAATAAAACAAAGTTCACTGCTGCCCTGACCTATTTATGTGTCTGACCTATTTATGTGTGTGGATAAACTTCTCTATTTTCCACCAGTGGTGGGTTGGGATCCCCTGGACTTTTTTTTTTCTTCATAAAATGACCTTGGCTCTCAGGTCACCAGCCTTAAGTGTAAGAAATCGAATTATTGTTGTCACACACAGATAGGACAAGCAAGGGGCAGTAGGGGTTAGCACTGTTGTTTTTGGACCAGGCCACATTCACATTGGGAGAGGGTAGGAACCGGAAAAGTGGCCTCACTTAGAGATTTCCTAATTCTATTTTTGGCACTCATTGTTCTTACACCCACCCCAACAACCGTGTCTTACCTTTCTTCTCTCACCCCTTCTCTTTTCTTTGATCTTCTACTATTCTCCTTTCTCTCTCCATTCTTCCTCTCTTCCTTTCCTTGCCCTTTCTCCTGTCCCATCTCTTCTTTGTCTCCTCTCCATCCTGTCTTTTCATTTTCTCTAGATTTCCTTACCTGCTGGTTCATCTATGTATTTTTTTGCCCCATAACTATCTTTTCCTAGTGGTTGTGTCCACTACACTTGAAATTGTGTGAGGAGGGGGAGGGGGGGGAGTAGGTGGCTGTTTTTTTTTCTTTGAGGTATCTTTCTCCCTTCCTGCTCCCCTCTCTTAATCTGTGTTTGTCACTGCCTTCCTTACCCACCTCTCTCTGTCTCTTGCTTTATGTCTGTTTGCCTCCCTTCATCACTTCCTCTTTGTATACCTCCCTCCCATTCTCCTGCTCTGCCTTTTTTCTCTTTCTTTGGTTCTCTCCCTCTGTGCTGTCCCTTTGTCTCTCTCTCTCCTTTATGTCTACATCTCTCTCTGCTTGCATCTGCTTCTCACCCTGTTCCCTTTGTCTCTCTCTCCTTTATGTCTACATCTCTCTCTGCTTGCATCTGCTTCTCACCCTGTCCGTTCTCTCTCCCTCTGTCTCCCTTCTTTCAACTCTTTGTCATATTTTCCTCCTTCCATATCTCTGTTTCGTTCCCTTTTTCCTTCTCTTTTCATCTGCCCATCTCTGTATCTGCATTCCCTCTTTCTGTATTTGTCTCCCTCTTTGTCTTTCGCTGTCCCTTCCCCACTTTTCCTCATCATGTCTCCATCCCTCCCTCTCATTTTTTCCTCCTTCCCCAGACTTCTTTTCCTTCTTTTCTCTACCGTCATATGTCCATCTTTACACTGTCTCTCCCAGCCTACCTCAGCATGTGTCTTCCTCTCTCTTCATGACTCTCTCTCTCTCCCCTAACCCTCTCAGGTACCAGGTCCAGAACAGACAGGACTTCAGTTTGCTGCCCTCTACCACCAAACCCTAAAAAAAATTTCAAACACTATATCAAGCTCAGGGGCCGACCAACACGAAGATGGGCACAGGATATAAGTGACTCCTTGAGTATAAAAAAGTACATGAGGCGGGAGAGCTGGTGAGAGACCGAGGTTTTTTTGTCAGGACAAAGGAAATGCTACATGATGATGATATCTGTGCTGGTATACCAACACATGTGGCACAAATGAAGTACCTTGTGTGCTCAGTACACCCTTGAACAAGGCAAAAATCTTGTTTCAGTATTACACCGAGACAACCTTGAAAAAAACTAAGGAGACCTTGAAAAAGACCTTGAAAAGCCTTGAAATTGATTGGTAAATTTAGCTATGAACCCTGTTATTAGTAAGCATTTAAACCAGGCGTAGTCCTCTGTGGGTCGGCTCTGTGGCTAAGTCGATGCGAACGCTTTGTAATGCCGGGGTACCGGGTTCGATCCCGGCTGCAGGCCATGCGCCTAGCGCTGGCTTCGACGGTGGTATCAAGGGGCCGACCGTCCAGCTGGCAATGGCAAACTACTGGACGTAAATTTGCCTAGAGCAACAACACTACAGCCAGGGGCTGCTGGGGTTGGCTCTGCATTGTCGTGTAAAGAATACGCAACTAACCATAAGTCCTCTATGGGCCCCATCACGAACAACTTGTAAGTGGCTATTCAGTTATGTTTTAGTATCCAGAAGCCATGAGTTGCTAACCCTTAGGCTCGGTTTTATGGATATCGCAACCCTTCGGCCTTGATTCCATGATAAATACCGTAAATCTGGGAGAAATGTGGCTTTTCTGCCTACCCCCGGGAGTGAACCCGGACCACAAGGAGCTCGTCATCCGGTCACCGCGCACTCCGGTTTAAATCTTGCCATTCAGCTAGTTAGATGCGTATCCTTTACGTGACGTTGCAAAACCAGGACGAGCATTTATTGGCTGTTGTGGTTTGCCCAGGCAAAATTACGTTTAGTCCATATTTTATTAGTTTCATTTATTTACTTTCGGTTACTTGTCATTTTATTTCATTGTGTTTGTGTGTGTGTGCGCACGCGCATTAACGAAGAAATTATTTCAAATAGGATGGGAGCAGAGAGTCCGAAAAGACACCCACTAAACACGTGTGATGGCAACACTGGTTGCACTGAGGATCTTCCTCTCTAATCCCGTTCTGCATTCAGCGGCAGATTCGGAAAGTGTACTGTGTACCAGCCTTGCTGTGCGCTGTTTATATCTGCTGGCATTTACAGCCTTGTATATTCCATCCGCGACCGGCTCTAGCTGACGGATGTGCTGCTGACGTCACCGGGTCGGGCTACCGATGCGTTAGCGCAGCGGTTCTCAAACTGGTTGCCGAGGCACCCTGGGGTGCCGTGAGCATAAGCCAGGGGTGCCGCTGTAATAGTCAAGAAAAGTCGGCTTAAAATTGTGACATTAATAAAGAAAACGTGTAGATACTTTAAAGTTAAATTTAAGTTGTCTTTCCTCGCCACTGTTGAAAATAGTTTATTTCTTGTTTGAGAACCGCTGTGTTAATGCATTATTAGCCCGACCAGGTGACGTCAGCAGCACTTCCCATCAGTTGGAGTCAGTTGTATCCCATCTATCCATCGCTTGGATGGTGAACCTCTAGAGCAGCTGTGATTATGTCCAAGTGACAGGGTTCTCTGTGGCGCACTATCTGGTGACAGTCTTGACACATGTTTGAACTATGGGATCTGCTATCTCTTGCTATAGTTGAGACCTGGTTCTGTCCCCACTTGTTTACTGATATCGTCAAAATGATCTAAAATACACAGGACAGAAGGCTGTGGAGAGACACGACTACTAACACCATTCAGCATTAACTATTAGAAGAAGAAGATGCATGAATCATCTGAGTGAATTGCTCACGTTATCATTTCCCTAATGTATTCAAATATTTCTTCTTTCAGATTTTCCCCAGATTTTTTTCCCTTCTAAAAGGAGTGCTGCACTGAAAAATGGAGCCGTGTGATCAGGCGGATAGATCTGAAAGTTATGACAGTATGAACTCGTGTTAGACCCTAGAATCTGTGAATGTTTGACTACATTTGCCAGTCTGAAATCTGTGTGTATATATTTGGTAACAAAAAAAACTGGGATTATATACATGCGATAGTGCGCAGGCAAAAAGAATGTGGTTGTGTCTATAATTCTGAAAGCTGAGGTTAAGTTCGCAAAGTTCATAGTAAGTTGGATAACAATATGATGCTAAAAACTATGACTTATAGTGCAGAAATATGAGGATGTACGTTGAAATCTTTCTGTTTAAAACGGACTTTTCTGGCATTGAAATCATTGGCTGTCTGTCTGACACCATTTTTAAAATTTAAAGCCGTGACTCCAAGGTTGTCTTGAAAACTGAGACGCCATGTCCAGTCTATTGAAGCTGTAACTACACTTGTCATACTTTAATTGTTATGACTTGTAATATAAAACTGTGACGGAACATATGTAATTTAAATTGTGACGCGTATGTAACACATTACTGTGAAGAAAGTTGAGACAAAGCTTCTGATAAGTAAACGATGGCTGTGTGGACATTCTGTGATCTTCAACGTGTGCAATAAATGCCTCTGAACCAGCGTCACATCCGGTGGAGTACCTCTTAGTCCATTACATACCTGAATAGGCACACAATTTTGTGTCTGCTAATAACACAATCAACATTAGGAGCAAATTAGTAATTGTGTGAGGTCTAAGAAACATCTACCACATGCCCCGAAATCATTGGCCGGTATTTTACTAACCATGGATCTCAATCGCAAAGACCCAACACAGAGCAACAGTGCCTCGGCCCCTCGGGGTCGAGCTTTCAACAACGACGACGACAACGAAAATGCCTCCTCGGATACCAACGAGCTAGACTTTGACAAGAACGAGGGCGATTCCTTCCAAGACAGCCCCAAATGTTCAGACAGGGGTAAAGTTGCCAAGAAAAAAGTGGTTAAAGCTAGCGCCAAGTTCTTACTGGATAAGAAAAAGTTGGAACAGTACGTTGGAGAAGGCGAGCTGTTGGTACCAGTGCCGAGGGCTCGGCGAAGGTTGAAAGGCAACGAACTGGGGTACATGGTGAAGAGAGATGACAATGTGCTAAGGTACATCGACAAGGAAGGAGTGGTATACAACCAGAATGGTGAGTACAACTTTGTCGTGGTCGATACATCTGGCTTTTTCTTCATCATATAGTTTCTAGGTTATGTTTAATAGTTAATAATTGTTTCTTTTTCGTCTACGTTGATCTGAAAATGTAACTGAGTTGTGCCTGATTACAGCTTGGCTGGGATATTTTCCCCTTTTGGTTCTGCAGGCATTTGTTGACTGCTTTAGTCTTTCTGGTTACAGTTGTTTGTATTTCTTTTCATCTTCTTCACTTCCTCTTTTATCACGTTGAGTATCAAGGTAGATGTAAGTTTCTGTTTCTTACTTTTCTGGCTGCCTTAACCATACGCACAAACACACAACACCATACACACACTACAACACCATACACACACTGCAGCAACATATACACACAACACCATACACACACAGACATTGCAGCACCATATTCACACTACAACACCATACACACACAATGCAGCACCACACAGACACTACAAAACCATATATACAATGCAGCACCACATACACACTACAGCACCACATACACACTACAGCACCACATACACATTACAGCACCACACATATACACTACAGCACCACATACACATTACAGCACCACATACACACTACAGCACCACATACACAGTACAGCACCACATACACATTACAGCAGCACACATATACACTACAGCACCACATACACATTACAGCACCACATATATACACTACAGCACCACATACACATTACAGCACCACACATACACATTACAGCACCACATACACATTACAGCACCACACATACACACTACAGCACCACATACACATTACAGCACCACACATATACACTACAACACCATGCACCACACTACAACATCGTGCATACACACTACAGCAGCACGCTCATACACACACACACTAGACTACAACATCGTGCATACACACTACAGCAGCACCCTCAAACACACACACACTAGACTACAACATCGTGCATACACACTACAGCAGCACGCTCTTACACACACACACTAGACTACAACATCGTGCATACACACTACAGCAGCACGCTCATACACACACACACACTAGACTACAACATCGTGCATACACACTACAGCAGCACGCTCTTACACACACACACTAGAGTACCATGCACAAACTAGACACACACACACTAGACTACAACATCGTGCATACACACTACAGCAGCACGCTCATACACACACACACTAGACTACAACATCGTGCATACACACTACAGCAGCACGCTCTTACACACACACACTAGAGCACCATGCACAAACTAGACACACACACACACTAGAGCACCATGCACAAACTAGACACACACACTAGAGCACCATGCACAAACTAGACACACACACACTAGAGCACCATGCACAAACTAGACACACACACACTAGAGCACCATGCACAAACTAGACACCCACCACACTAAACAACAAAAAAGCCCCTCACCATATCGTTTTTAATCTTCTTATTGAAATAAATTAAGTTTTTTTAAAAATAAAATTACTCGCTGGATAATTTTCAGATATGTGTGTTAAATAAGAGATTTCGGAAATCAAATCACGTTTGACTTGCCAGATATGATCAGAATGGTTTTTTCTTTTCTACCTGTTTAGTCTGTAAGCAACTGTTGATATTTAACAAGTAACCAAATCTGACACTCCCAACTGGCATTGTTGAAAAGCCAATGTGTACATATATTTAGATTTGAATGCCTGTTATCTTGAGACACTTGATATTCTTCTTCTTCTTCTTCTTTCTTTCTTTCTTTCTTTCTTTCTTTCTTTCTTTCTTGCTGTTTCTTCATCATGTTTAGCAGCCTGAACTTCAGTGGAAAAATCTTTGTTCACCCATTTCTGGCCTTGGTCTTGTTGCCAATGTTTTTTCACGCACTTCTGGCTTATTCTGTGCAGACTGTTGGTTGATAGTCTCTCAGATAAATGCTGCGCTTTTGAAGGAAACACCAGTAATAAATCAACTTTTACGTCATGCTTGTTTGTGGGGGGGGGGGGGGGAGTGGGAGTGGGTCTAACCCTCCCCTCTCCCACACCGAAACACCCTGACAGAAGTGCAGCAAGGCTCAGTACTGTCTCAGCAGAGCTCAGTTCTTAAGGAAAAGTAGCACCAGCTTCATCTTCGATGGGAAAACTTCACTAGTCGCTCGTGGTATCTTTGTGCTATCGATTCTTTGACGTGGCGAGTGAGGGTCGGAAACTGGACAAAGTGCAGGGGCTTCTGAATAATGTGGCTGGCGTCAAGGGAGAGAAGAGAGAGACCGGGCAAAGAGGGAGACAACCCGTGGCTGGCAGATAGACTGGGGACAAATCAAAGGCCGGGGAAAGTGGTGTGTCGTTAATGAGGAATCTTGGACAGCTCTGGTTGAGGATTTAGCTGCCTTTTGATTTGTTAACCTTAGTCAGGTGGCTCCCCTCCCCCACCCCCTTCCCTATTAAAAGTATGGCGAGGACCCCCTTTCACCCCAACTATAAAAGCGACTGAAAAGGACTAAAGAACTTGAAGAAATCAAAATGTCACTTTATATACAACAACCCTAAGTGGATTCCAGGGCCCTGTTGTAGGGAAAACAATAAAAGACCACTGCCTACCCAAAGCCTGTCGTTAGCGTCGACTAATTGGGAGCTTCCTTCAAAGTCGGAGTGCATCTGTCTGTGCGGCAAGGAACCAGCAGTCTGCATACAAACAACACTCAGGTTCTGGGACAGGACTGCACTCCAGAAGTAGAGGAACAGCCAGAACTTTCCACTGGAGTTTACAGCCGGTGAATGCGAAGAAGAAAAAGCAAAACTATAGACAACAACGAATCACCAGCTGGTATTTTGGAGCCCACATATTAGTGTGACGGTTGACACTGTTTTATCTTGATGATTTGTGCTATTTGTTAAAGGATGACACCTTTGGTTGAACGTTGTAGACGAGACTATCGTTCTAGGAAAGAACCATGACCTACTTAAGTTTATATTTAGGTCATTGAGGATTTTGGTCGTTGTGAGGATCAGTTAGTTGTCATATTTTGGCCTTGGGACGCCATAGTTTGACCCTTATGGCTCTCAGCGGACCCTCTGTATGATCTGCCTGCAGTGTTGCCACTTGTCTTTGACAGAAAGCATCCAAAACGGACACAACAAAAGATCTAAAAACATCTAAGTTTGCATGGAAAACATCTAGAAAAAACATCCAAATGTGAAAAATCACAAATTACAAAGCAGTTGATATGACTTAACCTATAGAATCATATCCTCATCTTTACTGAAGTCTGCCTTACAAGATCCACAGGATAAACTTGGCTTGGATGATGAAGTGGAAGCTTCAGATCCAAAATAACTGGTATGCTTTAGCTGTTCCAATTTCATTTAATACCCAATCAGGGAGCTGATAAGTGGAACAGCCTTTTCCTACTCTTATCAGGCCAAATTTTATTGACAAGACAGCATTTAAGAGGTCAAATTTCATCCTGTTTTTTTTAAGGTTAGATTTGATAAATTCACTCCAAAAGAAAGACATCTAGAAATCATCCACCATCTAAACGTCAAAAACGCCATCTAAATGCAAGGAAAACATCTAAATCTAGATGTAAAACATCCAAAGTGGATGCCGTAGACTGCATGCTGCTAACAGGGAAGCCATCTGGCCAGTTCCAGCAACAATCAAAACAGAGCTGTGTGGCAGACAGAAAGCTTGAGACTGTAGGAAAGCTTTCATCAAGGTTACTAGTCTCCTGGTGTAAGGTGTCTCCCCCTCCCCTCTTCCGATAGAAGGATCAAAAATGATTCCGATTTTCTTTAACTTTAAAGCAATATCACCACTGCGTATGTGTGTATGTGCCCTGGGACATAGTATATTTATGTGTGTAACCGAGAAGGTATAGTTTTACTTTCTTGTACTTCAGTAATGTCACAGTAATGTGTATGTGTACGTCCGTGTAATATGTAGGTATGTTTGTGTGTAATTTACTAAGAAGATATTTGTTTATCTTACTTTTTGAACCTACAGTAATGCAACTAGTGTGTGTGTGTGTGTGTATGTCTGCGTGTTTTAGGTAGCGATGTATGCAACTTGCTAAAAAGAAATAAAAAAAAAATAGGTACGGCTCACCCCATCTCGTCGGCCGCGTGATTTTGTTGGGGATTTCCTGGGACACTTCTGTAGTCTAGAGGTGTCATGGGTTCCTTGTTTTGACCGTTTCAAGCCCATCCATCACCGACGACAGCCACCGCCAACGAGCGTAAAAAAATAAATAAATAAATAACATAACTACTTCTTTCATGTACAGTCGCCTTCGGCGCCTGAGACTTGATAACACATATTCGAGAAACTGCAGTCGTTTACAGAGCAGACAGTTACGAAAAGAAAACTGCAAAGCTTCGTCTAGGAGACCGGGTTGTACGAACGTGAGACAGTTTTCTCCACGGTGTGTATAGACGGACTGACTGACTTTCTACCCCACCAGGACATCACACAAGCGACAAACACCCGATGACACAAAGTGCCACCATGCGGATGAGGATCGCCGTGGAGAGGTCCCAGAAACCGTGTTGAGACATTTGGCCATATGTATGGCCTGCCTATATTGCGGCCCCTGGCAAAAGCCAGGGTAGGGCTTCAAATGACAAAAAATTTCGTTCTAATAAGGACGAAAATGGTTAGAGCATGTGTATAGACGGAGAAGGAAGCCATTTTATAACACCCCTAGAATGCAGGACAGCCCGTGGGAACGACCACGAAATCTCGCACCCTAACGAGATGGGGTGACTTTCATGATTAGTACCCAGAAAAAAAAGATGTCAACCACTAACGTTTTTTTATTTGCAGATACGGCCTATTTACAAAACCGAGAGAAAGGCAAGCCATACTTTGTGTGCGCCATACAGCGGTTTAGCCTGGTGAGTTTTGGTGCGATTGTTTAGTGAACAGGTGCTTTCATATCTCGTCCCTTCTTTGATATCATAGTATGCCGAGAGAGAGAGGGAGAGACAGAGAGATGGGAAAGAGATATGTAGTGTGCGGGAAGGGTGAATACATTGTGAGAAAGACATTGGGAATGATAGACAGACAAGGAGAGGGAGTGTGAGAAGAGAGATATATAGAGAAAGGGGGGGGGGATATAAGATAAATATGAGAGTTATACACAGAATGTGAGAAAGATGGAAGGGGAGGGGAGATGAGAGGCAAATCAAGCGCGCGCGAGAGGAGAGAGAGAGAGAGAGAGAGATCATAGAGAGAGAAGGAAGGGAGGGGGTTAGAGAGGGGGAGGGAGAGGTCAGAGAGGGTGAAATTATGGGAGAATAGTGATAGTAGTTATGACAGGGACAGATCGAATGTTAGACATATGCGAAAGGAAGGCAGCAGAAAGTTAGGGGGGGGGCGGGGGGGGGGGGTCGGCTGTTATTAAAAAAAGATGTGCCTGGCACTGTAAATCTGTAAAGTGGCACATCAAGATCTTTTTCTTCCTGTCTCAACTTCTAGAATGCCTCGCAGCATCACGACAGGAAGATATTTCTAGAAGGGGCTTTTCTCTTCGCTCCCTACATATACTTTTTCCAGGGTCTACGATCTTTCATCTTCTGTCTGGCCGACTCCTGGATCTTTTACCGCTGTATCTGTATGCTATTGCTCTCTCTCTCTCTCTCTCTCTCTCTCTCTCTCTCTCTCTCTCTCTCTCTCTCTCTCTCTCTGTACGGTATTTTCTCTGTTGCCAGTCCGGTTACTTGGCCAAACCCATTTAATCTGTTGGCTACTGATAGTTATGATTAATTTTTTTTTACAGTTAGAAAAAGTGTATATCAATGAGTAACGGCGATTCTTTTGACTGTAGCCTCGCAGACCAAGAGAGACACATTTATGGTGAGGGGGGGGGGGAGGGGGGGTCGATCTCTTGGTCTGTCACCGATGTATATGTATAACGTTGCTCCCTTCTCTCTCTCTCTCTCTCTCTCTCTCTCTCTCTCTCTCTCTCTCTCTCTCTCTCTCTGTCTGTGCTGCCCTCGCTGTTGCCAGTCTTGTTAGATGACCAAACCATTGAAACTATGATCTACTGATAGTCTTGATTACAATTTCCACAGTTAGAACAGATGTAAATTAATGGGTAACGGCGATTCTTTGATTTCGCAGACCAAGAGAGACACACTAATGGTGGGGATTAAATGGTTCTTCCGTCTGTCTGAGGTGCCTGGAAGCGTCTACCACCACTTAACCCTGGACAGGGAGCTCCACAGTGAGTCATTTATTTACACGAGTCGTTGCTGTTTATCTGTTGCTGCTTGTCTGTTGTTTGTTTATCTGTTGCTGTTTTGTCTGTTTGTTTCTTCTTTGCGTTCACCAGCTGTAAATTTGTTTCTTCTTTCTTCTTTGCGTTCACCAGCTGTAAAACTCTGGTGGAAAGTTCTGGTTGTCCGTCCACTTCTGGACTGCAGTCCAGTTCCAGAACCTGAGGGATGCGTGTGCATCCGTTTGACAGATCTGGCGCATTTGTGTGCAGACTGTTGGTTCCTTGCCTCTCAAGCAGATGCTACCCGACTTCGAAGGAAGCTCCCAATTAGTCAACTCTTGCGACATGCTTTTGGGTAGGCAGTGTGTCTATTCTTGTTTTCCCTATAATAGGGCCCTGGAACCCACACTGTTTGTTTATCTGCTGCTGTTTATCTGTTGCCGTTTATCTGTTGCTGTTTATCTGCTACTGTCGTTTTAACGTCTGTGTTTAAAAAAGAGTATATCCTTTATTTGTCCAAGTCGCCGCCGTGGTGTAGCGCCTAGATGTTCGCGTGCGGATCGGAAGCCCTACTTTAAAGACCTCGGCTCCTACATAGACCCAGCCTTAAACGGGTACCAGGTAAATTCCTGGGAAGTAGAGGCGGCCATCACTCACCAAGACCATATTTTCTGTTGACACATTAAGATTGGGACTGGCTGCTTTAGTAATATCCTACCTCAAACAGGGGGAAATCTACAGGTCACGGGACAGTCTAATATTTCAGGGGGTGGTAGATAGGCTGCATGCATTCGTGGGACGAAGGTGGGTTAGGGTTAGGGCCAGTTCTAGATGTTTTTTGGGTCGTTAAAGGCATAAAAAAGCCGGTAAACCCAGTCTTACCACCATCTGAATTATTGGCCTGTCCTGTGACGTCATCTGGGGTAGGATATCAAGAAAGAACCTGGGACTATAATAAAGCGTTTAGGCTGCCGGCTTTCTGATAACCAGCCTGACAGAAGGATCAATTGAGAGGAAAAAGTACATAATGCGTTTAAAATTAAGTTGTTTGTTTTAGTATCCAGAAGCCATGAGTTGTTCACCCTTAGGCTCGGTATTATGGATATCACAACCTTTCGGCCTTGATTCCATTGTAAATAATGTAAATGTGGGAGAAATGTGGCTTTTCTGCCAACCCCCGGGAGTGAACCCGGACCACAAGGAGTTCGTCACCCGGTTACCGCGCAATCCGGTTTAGCCAATTACGCTAGAGAGCCGGGCTTTAAAATTAAGTAAACTGAGGGGGAACCTTTGGGGTTCTTATTGCACTTGTATCCATAGCGAGGCGCACACGCTGTCTGGAGGTGACAGGTTCAATTCCCGGCACGGTAACTATAGCTTTTAATTTTTATGTTGTCTAGTGTGTTCTTCTATCTCTCTATTTCCTTCTATGAGTGCCGATCAGTACACTTTCTGTTACTTGATTAATTCATAATGTTTAAAATTAAGCAAGTGCTGGAAAGATTGAACGGCTATCTCATTTTATCCATTGTTCACTTTTGTTTTATTTCGTTTTTGCCGGCAGACCTAGTTAAAATTCACACCGGCTCAGTGGAAATTTAATAGCGGCGTAAAATAGATATCTTCTTGTTCATCGGGCACAAAGACACTGGGAGAAATTACTGCAGCATTATGGCCACGTCGCCCCGGGACAGCCAGGGTGCATGCAGTCTTGCAATCATTTCATTAGTTATCGCCCTTCGTATTGACGTTCCAGTTAGGGCAGAGGGCTGGGAGTTGGGGGCTAGGGATTTGCTTTCTTTCTTTCTTTCTTTCTTTCTTTTTTTCTTTCTTTCTTTCTTTCTTTCTTTTTCTTTCTTTCTTTTTTTCTTTCTTTCTTTCTTTCTTTCTTTCTTTCTTTCTTTCTTTCTTTCTTTCTTTCTTTCTTTCTTTCTTTCTTTCTTTCTTTCTTTCTTTTCTTTTCTTTCTTTCTTTCTTTTCTTTTCTTTCTTTCTTTCTTTCTTTCTTTCTTTCTTTTCTTTCTTTCTTTCTTTCTTTCTTTCTCTTTCTTTCTTTCTCTTTCTTTCTTTCTTTCTCCCCTCACTACCTCAAGGTCAGGGGTGTGTGGGTTGAGGCAGGCAGTTGTGTTTTTCTTTCTTTCTTTCTTTCTTTCTTTTTCTTTCTTTCTTTCTTTTCTTTCTTTCTTTCTTTCTTTCTTTCTTTCTTTCTCTTTCTTTCTTTCTCTTTCTTTCTTTCTTTCTTTCTCCCCTCACTACCTCAAGGTCAGGGGTGTGTGGGTTGAGGCAGGCAGTTGTGGAGAAAAGTGATGTTAGAAGAGTCAACGAGAAAAAAAATATGGAGGCGTATGTCAAAAATAGAGAAGAATGACAATGGAGGGCTTGTAATGTAGGGATTGAGAGAGGGAGGGAGAAAGATAGACGCTGGAGAGAGAAGGACAGACAGGGCGAATATAAAAAAAAAAGGGAGAGAGACACTGCGAAATAAGAAAGAAGAGATGAAAGGAGAGAGAGAGAGAGAGAGAGAGAGAGAGAGAGATAGATATTGGCGTCAGTAATAATTAAGTCAAAGAACATAAGACAATCTGTTTGTGCAGACAGGATGATAGCAGATAATTGCAAACAGTACAAGTAAAGTAAAGGACCAATATCCACTTCTTTTAGGCGTACTGGGTATATAGGGCTAGACCTATATTTGATAGACCAACGCCAAATGATGGATGATGTGGTCAGCATCACGTCGGCCGCCTTTACTTCCCAGGACTGCACCTGGTACCCACTCAAGGCTGGGTCTTCCTGGAAGCTAAGGTTATTGTTAAAAACATGTCCAGCTCCGCTAGGGAGCGAATCCATGTCCTTCCGATCCACAGTTCAGCGTCTAGCTGCTTCGCCACTAATTGCAAGCAGCAAGTGCTGGCAGGTTACATCGTGAATTGATTCGTTTCTTCGCATTCACCGGTGTAACCCAGTGTTGCCACTTTGGATGTTTTACATCCAGATTTAGATATTTTAAGATATTGTTTGATTCCGTTCTGGGTGGTTTTTTGGGGGTCAAAAGTGGCAACACCTCTGACAGAACGTTCTGGTCACGCCCATCTTCAGGCTATTTATATCTAGAGATGGCCGTGGCTCTGGTAATCTTGTTCCGGAACCTCAGTTTTCGCTTGCACATCCGTTAAGTGATTAGTTATCTTGTCCTAGGCTTTTTTCAGATGTTTGTGGTAAATTGCCTTCGAGTCCTAGTCTCTTGTGTTTTTGATATGTTGGTTCCTTTAGTATCTTTATCTCAGTTTTTTTTTTGTTTGTGATATGTTTGGTGTCTTTACCTCAGTTTCATGTTTGTGATAAGTTGCTTTCTTATCCTATCGTCTTTCTTGTGTAAGTGATGTGTTGGTTGTTTTAGCGCCGTGGCCCCTTTTATGGTTGTAATATGTTGGTTGCTTTAGTATCTTGGCTTTACATCTTCTTCGTGTTCACCAGCTGTAAACTCTTGCGGAAAGTTCTGGTTGTTCATTCACTTTTGGGCTGCAGACCTGTTCCAGAACCTGTGTTTTGCATGTGCATCCGTTTTAAAGATCTGACTCATCTATGTACAGACTGTTGGTTCCTTGCCTCTCGGGCAGATGCTCTCTGACTTAGAAGGAAGCTCCCATTAGGTCGACGCTTACGACATGCTTTTGGGTAGGCAGTGGGTCTGTTCTTGTTTTTCCTATAATAAGGGCCCCGGAACCCACACGGGGATCTTAGCTTCAGATTTATGTTTGTGGTAAGTTGCCTTCCTGTCTTTGCGTCTTCGTTTGAACCTCTTTCTGGTGTATGCAATAAATTGCCTGTCCGTCTCGCCTCATGTAAAGCGTTTGAATTAATGACCGCACAGAATAAGATATATTCGTAGACCCTGTTCCCCACTAGGACAAACCGACGTATTCACAGCCTATATTCTTGGTAGCCCCCAAAACCACTTGCTTCTCATCAAATCTGGCAAGAGTTAAATTTATACAGCACGCACACTTGGACCACACACACACCACACCCAAATCACACACAAAAACTTAGCACACCGCACCGAGATTACACACAAACACTCACTGCACCGCACCGCACCACACGAGTTTCCTGCTCTCTGCACACACCAGCCTGGTCTGGCTCGATAGACAAATTTGATAGTCCGTCGGTCTGGCTGGTGACGGCAACTTGTCTGGGTCGCGGCACTGACTCAATGGTTCCTGAATTTTTGGCTTTGGGAGAGAGACTGAATGGCCACATTAGTTTCATGTGCCTGCTGTTTGTAGCAGAAAAGCCAGACTAGTTGGGAAAGTTTATTATTTAGTAAAATATAGTTAAAGACCTTCTTTGAAACCAGGCACATCGGGCAGATAATGCTAGAACGTTTTTTCATGGATCAGTCAGTGCTCGATTGATGATGTATAGTCTTGTTGGAATAGCAGTAGTAGATTTTTACCCTACTAGGACATCACAGAAGCGATAAACACCCGATGACACAAAGTACCACCATGCGGATGAGGATCACCCGTGGAGAGGTCCCAGAAACCGCGTTCAGCCATTAGATCATATTTATGGCCGGACTATATTGCGGCCCCTGGCAAGAGCTAGAGTAGGGCTTCAAAGCATCCCACAAAGAGATGATTAGATTTATTGGAAGCAAACAGAGAAACGATCAGCACAAAAAAAAAAAAAAAAACCTCAAACGAACGAGAAAAGTCAAGAGTAGAATACTGGATTCCGTCAACGATATTGAAAATATTAATAATGATGAAACAGGAATTTGTGGCATATAAACGGTACAAGATAATAATGACGAAGAGACCAGAAACAAATGAGGATTCCAGGGTAGGTTTCCCAAAAAAAAAAAAAAAAACCAGAATATGGCAGAAAAGAAGGAGATAATTCCACTAATAAGGAACATAATCCAGTAGAAATGCTACACCTAAACCTGCTTTTAAAAGGCCAGCAACTGAGACGATTCCAGAAATGTGGCGGCCCGAATGC